CCCCCCCCCCCCCCCCCCCCCCCCCCCCCCCCCCCCCCCCCCCCCCCCCCCCCCCCCGGGCCTCTGGCCTCTGAGGGAGCAGGTTCTGGGGGTGCCAAGCTCTGGATGACCTGCCCCAGACCCAAGACTGGGACACAAAATGGCCACTTGCCACATGGGGAGGCCTTTGGTTATACAGTACCGGCGCTTCCCTTTCCTCTAAAGCTCCGTTAAATCCTCAAACTCCCCCCTACCCCGCCCATTATGAACGACTCAGAGGGGGAAAGAGACTGACCCAGGGTCACGTGGCCAGGACGCAGCCACACAGCTGGGACCTGGCCCCTCATCCCAAGGCTGGGTTCCCTTCCTCCAGGGAGGGCTTATAGGGGGAAACTTCTTTTCAGCTGCTTCTTCTCAGGGAGGGCTAAGTTTTGGCTTCCTCTGCAAACTAGCGACGAGGACCCCGATGATTTGAAGAGGCCCCGAACCCCCTAGCGGATCTAGTGGCATCCTTTTTCGGGGCGCCAGGAACTGCGGGGCGGTGGGCTCGCGGTGGGAGTGTGAATGTGCACGGCGCTTTTGTTCCTGGCATTTTGGTGGGTGAGATAAGGGAACAAGAGCCAGGCTCAGAGAGAGCAGGCAGATAGATAAGGTGATAGGGTTCCTCCAGCACACACGCCTATCGCCTTTATCAGAGTTCCCTTTTCTTTCTTTCTTGGGTGGGGGGGCAGGGTGGAACACACCCCACCCCCACCCCCCACGCCGGGGAACTGAGGGGTGGGGGCCTCCCTCGCTCAGGTCCCTCCCGCTGTGTCCAGCACGCGGAGCCCTGGCCTGGGCCCGGACCGGAAGGGTGGGGGGTCCCGGGACTGCGGTCACAGCAGGGACCAGCAGCAGCTGTGCCTCTGCCCTTGCAGCTCCACGGAAGGGCCTCCGATGGGGGCGGGGAGGCCCAGAGAGGGGACAGACAAGGGGGTGGGGGGGGGGGGAGAGGGCCTGGAGGCCAGTGGTCTGGAGACTGGGTGCCGAGCCCTCTCTCCAGAAGGCCTATGAGCCCCTGTGGGAGAGG